AATTGATATTTACAATAATTTTTAGACAAAAAAGAAGAATATTATTAGCTTTTGAAAAATGGGTTTAGCCGCGCCCACTTGTGGTTACATGTGTATATCTTGGCAACCGCTGCACAGTGTAAGATTTAACCCATCTAGCTGCTTTTAATTATGTAATTCGAAAACTAGTGAAGATAGATTAATGAAAATTAGCACAAGGTACGTTATAAGATAGGTGAAGCTTTTTACAAAAAATTCGTCATTTAGAGTTACTGTCAGGGCACCCTATTATATAACTGAAATTTTTAAAAAGGCAAAAACTGAAGTATTTAATTAACTACAAAGCCTAAAATTTACAAAATTTACATTTAGAATTTCCCTATAACAAGGAACTATAAACTGACAGAAATGGACTTAAAAATAATTTTTTTTTTTTAAATAAATGCGTGGAAAATATCGATAACAAAGTCAAGTTGTGTCAAAAAAATTCCGTTATAAATTCAATATTTCCTGCTCTGTTTACAAAAATGTGATACCATTGGAAAGGTAATAAATCAGGCTTTCTCTATTAAAAGCGAAAATATAAGAATTTGTCTCGGTCGAGATAAAATGCAAATGAATTACTTGAAGAAAATGAAATTCCTAGTAGGCCTGAAAAAAGAAAATTTCATCAAAACCTGCACTTTCCAGCAGCTAAAATTGTGTTTTTTAAAGTTTAAGAGGAGTGGCAAATAAACTGAGATACAAACTTTACAAATTTAAGTTAACATCGTTTTCCTTTAACATGAAATACTCAGTCCTAGTTTACTAAAATCCCAAAAATGTATATTCATCAAAAAGAACATATCCAAAAAAATAAGACTAAAAGGGTATTTTAGCAATTGTTGCATAAATCAGATCACACCGAAAAATTAAACATTGAGATTCAGTTTCAAAATACAACTTTATATATTATTGCGTTTGGTAATTTTCCACATCAAAACCCGTCCCGCCCTATACTTTGATTTAAATTTTTTAGTTGTTATTATTTCGTCTTTATCAGGCATTTCTAAAAAAATTGTTGACTTGGCACATCCCATATAACGGTAATTTAGAGAGATACGAAATCTTCGATATTAAAGCTAATTTATTCAAAATTGCTGCTCGCAACAATTCTTTACCAAGAAATACGTTTATGATAAAATTTTGGAAAATGGGCGTGGCAGCGCCCACTTATGATCACATATATGTATCTCGGTAACCGTTCTACCAATTTGTACCAAACTCGGTATGGTTATTGTGCTTGCCACATAAAAACAAAATGTTGAAAATTATTGAAATCGCACTAAAATTACGGCTTTTCATATAACGGTAAATTTTAGAAATGCTTGAAAATTCAATATTTCGAAATTTAAGGACGCTAATTTACTCAAAATTGATACACCCCGGCTTACCATGAGCGGTAGCTTTCGGAAAGGTGAAAAACATATATTTAATATTTGCTTGTTTTGTACTTACTTTGTATACGTTTGAAGCTCGGGTTTCAATTATTTGATGCTCCATTTTAATGTTGCGATAATATACTATATTTGTTCGTCGCTCTTAATCAAATAAATTTCAGTAGCAAATTTTCCACCATTTCACAAGGCGTAATTCATAATGTTGCATTTTTTTCGAGAAAAGAAAACAACATAAGTCTGTATAGTAAAATGAATTGTTATACGCAGTTAATTTGTTTTTATTTTACTAGCTCTGATTTGGTTTTACTAAATGTTATGTTATCCCAATTTTTTATAAACTTGAAATTGAAAAAAATAATTAAAACTCAAACACGTTTTTGGCAGGGTTTGGTTGGTTTTGGTAGGAAAAAACATTTGTCCGTGCCAACACTGACTGCGATATTAATTTAATTCCGCTAGACTGGCCATTTCGGCCACTGTGCGATGTTTGCTTGTTTTCAAATTTAAAGTTTGTACTTACAATATGTACCTTATTCTTAAACCATTTTGTTTGCATCATACATATACATGTACGGAATCAGCAGAGAAATGTATATTTATTTAAATTTCTTGTCGTTTAGATAATGCTTGTGAAGCACCAAATGGAATAAAAGGAAAATGCGTATCCATAAGAGAATGCAACACTTTATTACCGTTAATCAAAGATAACCTATCGGCAAGTGAAAGAAATTTTTTAACCAGAAGTATGTGCGGAAAAGGATTTGCTCAGGTAAGTCCGCTAACTAAACATTTTACATACAAACTGAAAACCAAGTCTGTAATAAAAATGCTTTTTCCCAGGGCCCGGTGTTCTCAAAGGGTCCTATGCTCAGACTCCATAGAATATTTCATAAGATGTTTTACATAAAAATTATAGATTTTCATGATGAAAGGATGTAATATACTACTAAAAAATTGTATACACATAAAACAAATGCAATATTATTTAATGTCGAGCAATTTATTAGTTCAGTTGAACTCTTGGAAATCAACCTGTTTTCTTTACGCTTTCTTTTCTAGGGGCACTAAACTGTCAGAAGTGGTTATGAATTAAAAAAAAAAATATATAGTAGAAGATTCAAATAGGGCACGACCTTCATCCATCTGTTTAATGGATGAAATCTATTTTGTATGAATCTCCTTCTCTAAATCATGAAGATTCTCTTAATCCTGAGACACCTTTAAATGAATGAAAATTAAAAATGCAAAACATGAAACTAACGCCCCTATTGCGAGTGTCGACTGGCAGTAGAATAGAAATTTGTCGATTGAGTCGATCATCTTTTATTTTGCTATTGTGTAACTTGATCGATAAAAATTTGTACTATTGTGAATGGTTGCCAAAATTGTAAACAGCTGTTTGTTTGTTTACATTTGTTTCTTTAGTGTTTCATTTACATCATTTTTAAAACAATTGCTTTTATTATAAAATATAAAAAATGGATACTGTTGAGATATGGTTTAGTGATGAGGAAGATGATGTGGAAGGTAAAAGATTAGTAGTTGGCTAAAGCAAGGAGGAAATTGCGAGATTCGTCGAATCCCTTGGAGTTGGAAGATGAAGTGTATGTACATACATATGTAAATTTTATGAATAGCATTTGCGTTCCAGATGCTTCACGATTTGCAGGAAAAGCTGTTTTCGCCATTAATTAACCTTATGGAAGGTGGCCCCGTGGAACAGCTTCCTGTAAAAACCAGCAAATCGTGAAGGATCTGGAACGCAACTAGTTTAAGCAATTCGGTACGGCTTAGTTATTTGTTCAACGATTTTGGTATTTGTGTCCAAACGCGTGACCCGATTTAAAAACTTTAACATACGCGTGTAGTGAAAGAATTAAACTTTAATTTACAATAAATAATTCAAATTTCCGAGTACTAGTATATTAATAAATTATGGAGTTTTTTGTAAATTTTGAAGTTAGTTCTGCGCAAAAACACTGGATGGCGTAGCCGGAGTTATATGCACAAGAAATGTTGAATATCTTTCACAATAGAAGCGGAGCTTCCGCCCCTCTTCTCTGTGGAGACAGAAAGGAGAATTATACTTATTAAGGGTTATAATCCGTAAACGCCTACCCAGAAAGAAGTTGTGCGCAAAAATACTGTCGTCCGGAGTGGGACTGATGAGGGTATTTTTCTAAAAGCAGGCCTAAGGCGGCCAATGTGGAAGGTGTTATGTGCATAAATACTGTGAGTTTACATTTTCTATGTCTAAGTGCTAATTTTACCCCATTTTAAAATGGGCCCCGGGGGTCTGTAGAAGGGTCAGAGAGGGGAAGGATGACTTGTCTTATAGTTTGGATTGTGCTCGCTCTAATGGATGGGGTTTTAGGTGCCACACCCCCTTCCCCTTTCGCTGCACGCCACAAAATCATTGTACAGATAACTAAAAATTTCCCAAGAAATTCACTAAACCACCAACTTTACAGGTTTTTGAAAAATTATCGTTTACCGAAAGCTGCATTTACATATTTGCTTGAAACATTGGAAAGCAAAGTACAAGCTGGTGTAAGAAAAACCTCGATACGCCTAATTTTTAAACTAGCAGCGACTTTAAGGTTCTGTGCTCAGGGATGCTACCAACTGAGTGTAGGAAACGATAGCAATATTGGACTTGGCCAATCTACTGTTTCCCTAGTTTTGACTGAAATGTTTCATGCTTAGGAAGAGCACGTGTGTCAAAATTGGATAAATATGAATTACACTGATGAAGAGAAACGAAAGGCGAAAATGTATTTTTTTGAGAAAAGTGGAATTCCAGGCGTAATAGGTTGCATTGATGGGACACATATTAAAATCGTTGCCCCCAAAATGGATCTTCAACACCTTTACTATAACCGGGAAGGGTACTTCAGCTTAAACGCGATGATAGTGAGTATTTAGGTAAAATATTAAATGAAAGTATTATTTAAATATGTTCATTTACAGGCCTGTGAAAACGCTCTTAAGATTCGTTACATCAATGCAAGACATCCTGGGGCAACGCACGATGCTACGGTTTTCAATATGTCTTCTTTAAAACCCCAATTAGAAGATGACTACCGCAGGGGTGAAAGGAATTTATTATTAAGTTTGTTATTATCAAATATATTGGACATTTCGATGGCTCTTACACAAATTTGTATATAATTTTCACGTGACGCAGGATATGCTTTACAACCGTATATGCTTACTCCATTCCGGAACCCTGATAACGGATCAGTGGAGGGTATATTTAACAAAAGGCATGCAAAAGCTAGGAATGTTGTGGAACGCACGATTGGGGTGTTGAAAAATCGGTTTAGGTGTTTGATAGGTGCTCGTGCGCTGCACTATGAGCCAAAGAAAGCCACCCAAATAATAAACGTTTGCGCAGCACTGCACAATATATGCATTTTTTACAATGTTGAGTCTTCGAATGAAGAAGTTAATGATAGTCAAGACCCGGAAAACTATTATGAAGATCAAGGTGACATCAATGTTCAAGCTGGCCATATAAATCAAGAAGCCGTAGAAATAAGAAATAACATTTTACAACATAAATATGCGACTTCAGTCTTAAATCTTTTTTTATTGTTTGTATGTATTCATTGAAGCTCAGGTTTTTTTAAGTTTTATTAATTTGTTATAATTCCCGTAATTCAAGTTTAAATTAAAATCAATGTAACATAAAATGTTAAAAATTTAATATTGATAAATACCTACTACTTAAAGAATTATCGTAAACATAAGCCAAAAAATCTTCATTTTCAACTAAATTTGGTCATTGTTAAAAAAAATAGCCTCATGTGTACAAATTAATAGGGTCGCGACGTTATGAGAAGTTTTGACAATTTCTTTTTTGTTTTTGTTTTTTTTTTTGGCCTTTATAACAATTATATTCAACAATTTATATTGAGCTCGAGGCCGTTTTAAATGAAAATTTTATTGTGGAGAACCAACAATAATTTGAAAAAATGGTAGAAGTGATAGCTATTTGGGAAATTACATTTCCTCATCAGACTTCTTTCAGTAGTACGCCTTGTAAATTATCGTTTGCTTTTTTCCACTATTTTCATTTTTGTTATGCCAACACAATCAAGCGCAGCTATTCCGCTGCAATTCACTTGATCATGTCGTTGTTGGTATTGTAGGTTTTTGCTAATAATTCTATTTTTAGAATGTTTAACTTTTAGGTGTGCTCGTCCTTAAGTTATTTGTTTTTGTTATTTTTTTTTGCCCTGTTATATGCATGGAGTCGAAGTCGTCGATAACGATGTTTAACCGCAGATTAGTGTTAACCAGACATTGAGTAACCGGCCCTAAGTCTCTTAAATCTAATGTAAGAAAAGGATATAAACTTTCCGAAAGCAAATGGATTTTAAGTAGTAGCCAGTAAGTTGTTTTACTATATATTTAATTCAATTAATTATAATTAAGATAAGTATTTAGAGTTGATTTAATCCAAGCTCAATTTAAAGGTAAAATATAAGTAAAGGTAAGTATCCTGAGTAATTATAACTAGTAGGTAAATTTAGGGTAAGTACGGTTAAGGTAAATCAGGTCGGTAAGTCCAGTAGCAAAATCAGGTAGGAATATCCGGTAAGTATATTACAAAACAATTGAATTGAGTTAAACAGGTAAGGGGATGTATATTTATAGTAGGTCAGGTAGGTATATTAACAAAAGTTAAATTAAGTAATGCGGGTAAGTATATTCAGGTATTAGGGTTGCGATTTCGTTTTAAGTAGTTAAGGATTTTCATTTATTTTTCTTTTTCTTCTTTTCTATCTTTTGGTCGTATAGCGTTTTGGTTTCCGTTTTATATTTTCACGATTTCATTTTAAATTTTTTTATAAGTTCGTTATATTATATTATTGTGGCCATTTTCTTTTATTGTATTTATGGTTATTTATTTAAAATTGGTTTTATAGTTGAATTTTTGAATTTTTCGTTAAGCTTTTAGTTTAAACTTATTTTTATTTAAAATAAATTTGTAGTTTAATTTATTTTAATTTAGTTCAATTTAAGTTGATTTAATTTCGTTTGAATTTATATTAATCTAATTCTAGTTTAGATTTTATTTGATTTTTTATTTTTATTTTTTCTATTTAATCTGAGTTAATCAATCCTAACTATTATTTCCCTTATCTACCTATATATGCATCTAGGTATATACCTGTATAGGTGTGTATATATGTACTCAACAGCTAAGGATAAGAAGAAACCATAAAATTTTTATTCTTAATATTAACTTATTTTTTTTCCAATAATTTTTTTCTTGTTTAGTTTACTTTTAATTTCTTGGGTTTTCCAAATTTCTAATTTTAAAGGTATTGTGTTTCTTTCTTTTTTTTCCAACAACTTTTTTTTTTGTTAGCTTACTGTAATTTCTTAAAAAAAAAATGTTTTATTCACGAAAAGAAGATTTCTAGGCCCGAAGAACTCACCCTAGTGTTGCAGCAGGCCTTGGCGGGGCCTGCTGTTGTTGTTGTTGCAGGAGTCGTGCACCGCTATGGTAGCCGCGCTGGTTGTTGTTGTTGGTGTTGCGCGCTGTTGTTGTTTGTATTGAGCGCTGTTGCTGTTGGTATTGCGCGCTGTTGTCGCTGGTGTTGCGCACTGTTGTTGCTGGGGTTGCGCGCTGTTGTTGGGTGTTGAGCGCTGCTGCTGTTAGCGTTGTGCGCTGTTGAAGGTGTTGCGCGCTATGGTAGCTGCGCTGGTTGTTGTTGTTGTTGCGCGCTGTTGTTGCTGGTGATGCACGCTGTTGTTGTCCCGCTGCTGTGGCGGGCGTTGTTATAGCCGGTGTTGCGCAGCGCTATAGTAGCCGCGCTGGTTGGTGGCGTTGTTGAGGTGGCCGCGCTTTTGGCGGTTAAGACCGCACTCTGGCGGTGCTTCCGCTGTCGCCGCTGTTGCATGGCGGTTGGTGCAGCCGCGCTCTTGGCGGTGTTGCTGCTGCGCGTTAGCCACACTATTGTTGTTATCGGTGTTGTTCCACGCTATGGTAGCCGCGCTGGTTGTTGTTGCGCGCTTCTGTTGCTCGCTGTTGAAGGTGTTGCGCGCTATGGTAGCTGCGCTGGTTGTTATTTTTGTTGCGCGCTGCTGTTGTTGATGTTGCGCTCTGTTGTTGCTGGTGTTGCACGCTATTGTTGGTGGTGTTGCGCACTGTTGTTGTGTGTTGAGCCCTGCTGCTGTTGGTGTTGCGCGCTGTTGGAATTTCAAATAAGATGTGGCGCTGCAAAAAAAAATAAATATTTATATATACATAAATAAAAGCTCAAAACTAAGTATTTGTGACAAGAACCATCCACCTAAGATAAACTACTACAGTTTCATTTTATTAAATTTTTGTTTGTAGGAAAATGCATAAGTAAAACAGTTTTCGTACGGTCGTTCGTTTATTTGTACAATGATTTTGGGTTATCGTGTCCAACCACGCGATCCGAACCAAGGAAACTTCAACATCTACGTCTAGTCAGAGGATTGCACTTTAATCAAAAAAAAGATTGCGGTTTGAAATATGCACTCCTTCTGTAAATTTGGAGGTGGATTTTGGTGTAAAAATACTGCTGATGGCCTAACACAAATTTAATTATTTTCTTTGCGAAAATAATCCTTATACAAATGACCGAACATTTCCCCCGCACAACAGGAAATCCGTCAAAATTTTTTTTTCTTTTTGTTAGAATAAAATCTTAGGCCATTCCGAGTATTTTCGCACCGTCGAATTTTACCAAAAGGCGCCCACTTCAAACCGAATTTATTAATAAATTTAACAACACATAACTTAAAAAAAAACCTACAAGGCTACGGCAGCTAGAACTATATATTTGCAATCAGTAGAACTGCCCCTCCTGTTCCCTGGCTACCTTAATGCGGAACTCTGGGGATACCCAACTAAATTGCAGCTTAGTAACCTATTGCTAGGAAATTGAAATTTTTGTTTTAAATTTAAGTTAGTTCTTTTGCTACACGCGTATGCTAAAGCCTCCCAAGATCCGGGCAGCGCGTCTGCACCCAGCACCACAAAAATCATTACTATGCATTACTATCCAAACTGTACCCCAGTCGCATGTTGCTTAATTTGCCAATTGCAAGGTAAGCGTGGTTTCTTGCTCCAAGCTAATCCATTCACATAACAGAAAGCTGGAGCAGAATGGAGTAACTTAGAGCAAGAAAATTCTTATGAAACCCGGAGAAACGCTCATTAACACCACTTATGCTGAGGAACACTTACCTGATGCCGACGGTTGTCCTACGGTGCTAGGGGCTTGTGGTTAGTGGTGGTGCGTCATTTGGACTGGTTGCGTTATTCGTCCACCGGGAATTTGCCGCAGTGCAAGGAGGAATGTCAAAAGAATGTTCGAGGCTGTCCGGGGTTACCATGACCCCGTTGTGCAATTCCGAACCGGTTCATTTTTCACTTTTGGTTTCCATGTATTTACTACGGCGGATGAACAATTATCGGGCGAAACTCAGGATAAGGCAGAATATTGTTGGCAGTGATAGAAGTGAAAATCAAAATGGAATCTGATAAATTTAAAAAGAACGTACGTTACTTGCAAGTTATAGAATAGATCTAAATTTAACAATTTCAGCAACACACAAAATAGAGCTTCTGCACGAGCGTTTGTGTGGTTTTTCACTTGCCAAAATTTTCCTTTTGTTTGGCACAGCCAGATACTATTTATTTGTACACCGTAGCAAATTTTCCCCACCGTCTCACCATGGATAAAAGTTACCGGTTGGCACACATACTATATCGGAATATCGATAATGTTTCCGCCAGAATGTTTTATTACAAAGGGAATAGCTGTCAAAGTACGAAGTTATCGCAATAGATGCCAAGATATAAGCCCTGATATGTATTGTGCCCCCACATTCCAACAGATGTGTTAAGTTATAAATTCCATCCTGTGAAGACGGCAGTTACAGACAGCTGTCACCAACTATCGCTAGCCTCCGCTGGTAAACTTTTATTAACCAAAAAAAGTAGGCGAACAGACCTAAGGAACTAGTGACAATTAGCGACACCCGTCCGGAGGGAACACAGCTATCGCAAAATGGCAGACATTCCATGCAGTTTTGGGGTTGCCATACGCTCTAGAAAAATTATCAGATGGTGAAATTTATGGGTGCGCTATACGCCGAAGAATAAAGTATTTATATTTTGT